AGAGAGAGGAAAGAAGAGAGAGAGAGAGAGAGAGAGAGAGAGAGAGAGAGAGAGAGAGAGAGAGAGAGAGAGAGAGAGAGAAATCTTATTGTGATAGAGAAACTTCAATTAGTTGGCTCCCATATACCCCCTTACTGGGGTTCAAAACTGTAACCAAGGTATGTACCCTGACCAGAAAATGAACCTGAAATTTTTCTGGTTTATGCTTTTGCCAACTGAGTCACCCAGCCAGGACACCTTTGTTATCACTTAATGTTTAGTTACAAAAGCAATATATGCTCTTTGTAAATAATAAAACAATGCAGAATTATGTAAAATAAAAAACAAAGTTCCCTATTTCTATTCACCAGCACTTTTATTTCCCAGCATTTCAATTCCCCATGGGCAACCACTGTTCATAGTTTACTGCATATCCTTCTGAATGCTTTTATTTTCTGACTCCTTTTTTTCTTTCCTTCCATTCTATTAACCTATAGCCTCCTGTTTTCTGCTCTTTTCATGCTCAGCTTCCACCAGCCTCTATTCTTATTCGCTGGTTAGTCTGAGAAACCTGAAAGCTTATCTGTTAGAATGATGTGGAAATCCAGACAAAGTAATTTCTGAGCAAAGACCTCACATATCTCTGATTAAAGAACATAAATTTCACTGGTTACCTTTTCTGATTTGCATTTTGACTGCTAGTAAGCCTATTAAAACTGCCCCCTGGCACTTAGAGTCAGATACTTGGAAAAGTAACCTTCAAATAATTGAGGTGTTGCTATCTTTACTTTTCACATACTAAGAGTGAAGTATATTTAAGAAACACTTCTGTTAACTTTTCATGTGTTCATACAACTGACCATGAAAGAAAAATTCTATCAAATAGGAGAACAATAATTAGAGATTTTATTTTAGTGTATTGATTCACTCATTAACTATTTACTGAGTGTCTGCCATGTTCCAGGCACTTTAAAGGATGTAAATATAAAAAAACCCCAAACTCTTGCCCGGCCAGTGTAGTTCAGTGGTTGAGTGTCAACATATGAATGAGAAGGTCACGGTTTGATTTCCAGTTAGGGTACATGCCTGGGTTGCTGGCTCAATCCCCAGTGGAGGGTGTGCAGGAGGCAGCCAATCAATGATTCTCTCTCATCATTGATGTTTCTCTCTCTCTTTCTCCCCTTTCCTCCCTAAAACCGATAAAATGTATATATATGCTCTTTACCTTTTTTTTTTCTTTTTTCTTAAACTCTTACAAGCACTATTAAGGAACCACCAAACTGTGTTTTATTGTCTTCTTTGCCTGGATCCTCCCTTCAAAATCTGCATTTGAGCATTTTGTCTCTCAGAGGCATGTGGCAGTAAATTTAGTTGTCTGTTGATAACCCATTGGTACTTGAGCCTCTTGCATTTCTCTGTGTATTTTCTCTCCATTACAAGTGTGGTTATGGCCCAGCAGCTGCAGCAGCATTTAGCTTTGGAGCAAGAGGGAAGTCCTCTAGCTACCCAAGGAGGTGGATATCTCAGGTATTTGGACTCCCTCCAGGTCCTTTTGGTAAAATTTAGCCCGGAGATTTGGCATGGCAATTCACACCATTATCCAAGGCTCACACTCTTTTACTTTCTTTCTTCCTTCTTCTCTTTTTAAACTACAAAGCTTGCTGAAATGCCAGGAGTTTAGTTAGGAATGAATAGGGAAGTCTGGCATGTTTTTAATCCTGTGCTCAATGTTGTTGGTAATATTAGAAGAGCAGCAGAGCCATGAATCCAGTCATGCTCTTGGCTAAAGCAGCCTAGCCTGACTCAAGCGCTCCTCAAATGAAAAAAGACCCAGGGCTTTAGTTGACAGTAAATGCAACCTGAGCCAGTGATGTGACCTGGCTGCCAAAACAAGCAAATGTGATCTGAACCAGCGTTAATAGAAGGCGGGTGGCTGGGACAAGGAAGGTAATAGTTCCAGAGTACACTCTGCAGTGGTCACATCACACCTGGAGGATGGTGTTTCCTCCTGGGCGCTGCATTTTAAGAGTGACGTGGAAAAGTTGGAGTATGCCCAAGTTGGGCAACAGGATGATGAATGGCCTAGAAACTAATATCCTTTGAGGAACAGTTGGAGGAACTGAAGTAGTTTACCCTGGAAACTGGAAGGCATGAGGATGTGGGATAACCATTTTCAAATATTCGCAGGGCTATCAGATAGAAGAGTTGGACTTCTCCCTGGAATCTCAGCAAACACAACTTAAGCCAGTGGGTGTACATTACAAAGTGGCTGATCTTGTCCCCATAAAAGGAATAATTTTCTAGCCCTTCTGAGCATCCAGAAAATAGCAACTTTGTAAGGAAGTGACTATACCTTAATAAGGGGCTGCCTGAACTTCAGACAATTCATGAATAAGATGGGAGGTTTGGAGAGATGCCCTGATCCAAGCTCCTTTCACACTCAAAGGTTCTAATAACAAAACCTTAAAAATAAAAATAAATAAATAAAAAATTACTCCCTTTTCTCTTAGACCCCGTTCAAGCAGTAACCACAGAAATCGTTAAAATTGATGAAGTTGGAAGGCAAAAAATCCATAGGAACTTCCCTGATGGTTGTGAATTTTGTTTTAGTAGTGTTTTTTCTAACTGAATATATATATTTTTTCATTTTTAAGATTCTTTAGAGCCCTTCTATGCTTTCTTTCTCATCAAATTTATGCTTCTCTTTTTAAAAATATTTTTAATTGATTTCAGAGAGGAATGGAGGAGAGAGAGATAAAAACATCAATGATAAGCCCTAGTTGATTTAGCTCAATGGATAGAATGTCGGCCTGTGGACTGAAAGGTCCCAGGTTCCATTCCCGCCAAGGGCACATACCTGGGTTTCGAGCTTGATCCCCAGTAGGGGTTGTTCAGGAGGCAGCCAATCAATGATTCTCTTTCATCATTGATGTTGGTTTTTTTTTTGTGTGTGTGTTTTTTAAAAGAATATATTTTATTGATTTTTTACAGAGAGGAAAGGAGAGGGACAGAGTTAGAAACATCGATGAGAAACACCGATCAGCTGCTCCTGCACACCCACAACTGGGGATGTGCCTGCAACCAAAGTATATGCCCTTAGACTGAAATTGAACCTGAGAACTTTCAGTACACAGACTGATGCTCTATCCACTGAGCCAAACCGGTTTCGGCTCATCATTGATGCTTTTATCTCTCTCTCCCTCTCCCTTCCTCTCTAAAATCAAATATATAACATCGATGAGAGAAAATCATTGATTGGCTGCCTCCTGCCTTACTGGGGATCGAGTACAACCTGGCATGTGCCCTTGATCGGAATCAAACTTGAAACCCTTCAATCCACAGATCAATGCTTTATCAACTGAGCCATGCTCCTCTTAATATGTTGTTTGCAGGACACTATATTTTGATAAGATTACTCTTAACCCAAATTATAAAGCAGCATTTTGGGGAATAGCAATTGGCATCCACATGTCAAATAACCAGCTCTATGGAACAGCTGGTATTTAAAGTTCATTAATCGTTAATCATGAGGTAGCATACAGTGAAATAATCTGGCCCTTCCTGAAAGTGAAGTAAGCAGGCTGGAAATGATTATTCCTATTTTATTCAGCACCCACCATGCTAAGAATAAACTGCACAAGTTCATCTTACATCCTAAAGAAAGTCTATAGCAAACATTACCCTTGATGGCTGAGGATACTTGACTCTCTTCTTGAAAACAGGGATGCTAACAGTTGCCTCAATTAAAAATCCTAAGGTTGTGGACAGAACAGTGTTAGCTAAATGGGGTAGATTTGACTGGGCGGGGTGGCAAAAATGCTTAGGAGCTCTGGCTGTCAGAGACCTGGGCTTAACATTTTTTTGTTCTGCCCCTTGCTGCCTGTGATATCACTGTCATGTCATGAAGCCTCAGGGTCCTTATCAGTACAATGGGAATAATAATAATAATAGGTTTTGTCTTTTTTAACCCAAAATCCTCCCCGTTGGGAGGATTAGATAGAATAATGTGTGTAAAGGCACGAACACAAGTGCTGTTTTTAAAAATTATATTTATTGTGGGTTAATATCCATTGTTTATTATGCTTTTTTTTTTTAAAAAAAAATTGGGGTATTATTGTGTTTCCTATTTACTTTCACTGTGCAGTTTATACTTAGCATAGTAGGTGCTGAATAAATCCTAGTCAGTAATATCATGCTGGACCAACAGTCAGTAACAATTCAACTGAGCAAGGCAAGTGCTTCCTGGGTGTCCAGCCCAGCACTAACTAATCTGAGAATACAAGGCTGCCTGATACTGGGCCCTTGCTAAGAGTGATGCGTAGGTTGCTGTGGAGGCCAACTTGCCGTTCCAGAAAGGTCTGGAGATGCTGTGTGAGTGCTGAGTGACTCACAGGGATCCAAGCCAAGCAGGGTGGGAGGGGCCTTAGTGAGGAGGAAAAGCTGAGTGCAGGCTCAGAACTCCTCCATCAGCAGACTGTTGGCTGGAACTGTTAAGCTGGCATCGATGCTATACTTGTTGGCCTAGTCATGCAACCTCTCGGAACCCGTTTGCTTCTCTGTAAAGAAATAAATAACGAGGTCTACGTACGAGCCAGGATGCGAAGATTCAGTGAGGCGATCTTTGTATAAAGTGCTTGCTTGGCACCTCAACTGGCACGGAATAAGTGTTCAATGTTTGTTACCATTACCATTAATTTAATTTAATAATACCTTCTAGTTATGAGCCGGGAGTCCTTCATTGGACTGTGAAGGAGGGTGCCAGGACTCATAAACCACCGGCCAGTATCGAAGAGCTTTAAGACACGGCGGCCGGCGCCGGACTCCTAATCCCAGTCCAGCGCCAGCGTGACGTCCCCACGTCCGCGCGGCGCCGGGCTCCCAGGGTCACGTGGGTTCCGGTCTCGCCCCGGCGGAGCCCGTCCCCCGCGGCTGCGGCTGCGGCGGCCGCGCCTGCGCAGACCCGAGCGCGCTCTGCGGCTCGCTCCGCGGCGGAGGCGGCGCGAACAGCCAGGGGCCGGTGGATGGCTCTGTGGGGCCCGGACAGCTCGGGGCCCTGCTCCCGCGGGCCGTTGGAGGAGGCGGGGGCGGCGGCCGAGGAGCGCGAGGCGCCGGCGGCGGAGTCGGCGGCGGCGGCGGCGGTAGCCGTGCCGCTGGACGAGGAGGAGGACGATGGCCGCGGCCTACCGCGCTGGGACGGCTTCTCGGCCTGGCTGCACTGCGTGTGTGTGGTGGGCTTCGACCTGGAGCTGGGCCAGGCCGTGGAGGTGAGGCCCGGCCGCAGCGCTGTCCCGCCGCCCTGCCCGGGTTCGCATCTGGGCTGCCTTTGCGGAGCGTGTGGCCTGCGGGCCGCCGGCCTGGACCCCGGCCCCGCGCATCTGGGCGTGGCTGGCCGCCCCTCCGCCCCTCGGGCCGGGCTGCGGGCTATTGGCAGGTCCCCTGGGAGCATCCTGGGCTGCGGCTAGGGGTGAAAAGTTCTCAAGGCCCCTCCTAAGCACTTGCTGTTTTTTGTTCTGTGTGTGTGTGTGTGTGTGTGTGTGTGTGTGTGTGTGTACCCGGTGTCACCAGAATAACTGAAGTGGTTAGCGGCACCTGAAGGAGGCTGCAGGCAGGATGTCTGGGACTTTTTCAAGAAGCAAACAATGCCCTTGACAGACGGTGCAATATAATAGCCAAGACTCTTACAACAAACTTTTTTTTTTTTAAGACTAAGAGATTGTTTTGATCATTCACAGTAATAATAGTAACTCTTAGAGCATTTTAGTGAGCCTGAGCCGAAATGCATAGCATGCATTTTCTCATTTTCATCCTTTTGTTCCTCACTTCTGTTATTTCTTGGTGTTGCTTCTGAAGCAGTTGGCCTGAAAACTAATATGAAGGACAACATAAGGAATATCTTTCGCTTGTGAATCTGTCAAGTTTTCTATCTTTATGGCACCTTATTGAAAGGCCTTTAAATCTTAATCTGTTCTTTGCATTGTTTAGGGTTCTTTATGTAGCTTAAGAGATTGCTTGTCTTTATGTGTCCAAGAAAAACATCAGAAAGATGCATGTTTGAGATTTTTTTTTTTTTTTTTTTGTAGTGATGCCATTTTAGTGCACCATCTCATTTTTACTTCATTGACATGAGTTGGCTAGGAAAATGGGCCAGGGCGGTTTTTCTTAATTTGAAGATACTGCTTTTTGATCATTATGTAGTTCCATACATTGTTTCCACAAAGATCTAGGCATTATGCTGGTTGCTGGGCATACAAATATGAACGATATGCTCTAAACTATATTTGAGGAATGAGACTATAATTTAGAGAAGAGCTAAGAATTAATCACAGTAGCAGATAGGGCCAGATGTGGTGCTTGGCACATATGGTGTTTAATAAATACTTGCTGATAGGATGAATGAGTACAGGAACAATTCTTTACCTTATTGAGATAGAAACAACCAGTTCTCAAAGAAATTGAAGATATTTATAAACCATATATTGACTATATTAACACATTTATCTGAAATTATATGTATAGCAAACTACAATTTAACCAGGAAACAATGGTTTGGGTTGTTGTAGTTTATTACATTTTTTTATATAGCTAAACGAAATCATTTGGGACATTCTTTTTAACATGAATATGTTTTTCTGACCAAATAAAGAATGCTTAGCATAATTAAAGTGCTGCAAAAATGTGGATCATTAAAGGTCTTATTTTGCATTTAATTTTCCATAGTATATGCTGTTGCAGAGTTTTCTTTAGGTCAGTTATTCATAATGTTTTTTGCATTCTGAAACTTTAAAAATGTATGATGAATTTCATGAACTCTCTCCATTAGGAAAATGCTTACTAATACAAAATTATGTATTTGTTTTGGTATACTTCCTGGAGGTTATCTATGGACCTTATAGTCCATTGTCTCTAGATTAAGAACCATTGATTTTAGAAGGTGGAGGATGAGAGGGGGAAGATTCCCTAATGAAGGATCCAAAGACAGATAAACACATTAAGTGAGATGCAACACAACAATTTTATTTTGTTTTCCTGAGAAACATAGAATATTGCACTTTGCCACTTTTAAAGAAAAAGGAACACAGATTAGAAACTAATATAACAAAATAGTTGAAAAACATAGTATTTTACCTTTGTATTATTACCATACTTAGGCCAAAAATGGTCAGAATGAGTGGATATAATGGCATAAGAAGGTGTGGATAGCCTGGCTGGTATGGCTCAGATCTGTGAACCAGGAGGTCATAGTTCAATTCCAGGTCTGGCACATGCCCAGATTGCAGGCTCAATCCCCAGTAGGGGCGTGCAGGAGGCAGGCAATTAATAATTTTCTCTCATTAATTATGCTTTTACATCTCTTCCTCTTCCTTCCTCTCTGAAACAAATAAAAATACATACTTTTAAAAAAAGGTTTGTGTAGAATTGTGTTGGAGAAGTGACAGATAGTAGCCCATCTCTACTTCCGATGAACCACAACCATGGAGATTCAAAAGGGAAATTAAAGAATAGGTAAAAACTAAGCTTGGACAATAATATCCTAGAACCTAGCTGTGCTATAAAAAACAGTCATTGAATACTAGGCCTGGGAGACTTAAGAATCTGTTCTGCCAAGACCAAAAGCACCATTTGCAGATTTTAAACAAATGCATGAACAGTGCCACTTATTTAAGTTTAAATCCCTACTAAAGTGACAGTATAGAGTATTGATCAGGAACTCTAGATTTTAGAGCTGGTTTTAATCTATGTACTTTGAGTACATTACTTTGCTTGTCGGAACCTGGTGCTGCTCCTCTGTAACGGGGTAACAGTACATTTGTCGTGGCATTGTGAGAGATAAGTTAATGTTTGCGAATCATTAGTACCTGGGACCCAGTAAGGCCTATGTAAGCATTGAGAATTCCCCCCCCCCTTTTTTTTTTAATGTATTTTTATTGATTTGGGAGAGGAACTAAGGGGGAGAGAGAGATAGAAACATGAGTGATGAGAGAATTATCAGCTGCCTCCTGCCCGATCTCCACTGGGAATGGAACGGTGACGTCCTGGTTCATAAGTCTTTGCTCAATCACTGAGCCACACTGGCTGGGTGAGAGTCCCTTTTTCATTAAAAAAAAAAAAATAATAAATATATATATATATATATATATATATATATATATATACACACACACACACACACACACACACACACATATACATATATATTTTTTATTGATTTTTTTCTTTACAGAGAGGAAGGGAGAGGTACAGATAGTTAGAAACATTGATCAGCTGCTTCCTGCACATCCCATACTGGGGATGTGCCCGCAACCAAGGTACATGCCCTTGACCGGAATCAAACCAGGGACCCTTCAGTCCGCAGGCCGACGCTCTAGCCACTGAGCCAAACTGGATAGGGCCCTTTTTCATTTTTGATGGGAAGAACTTTTTGCTTTGTGAAAATGAGGCCTTTGGACTTCAGTTTTCACACTTGTAAGATGAAGTTGAGTTACTAGAATCAGTACTTTTTTTTTTTAAGTAGGAGAATATTTCCCCCTATGTAAATAAAGACCTGGCTAATCCGGTTGAAATGGTGCCTGTGTGTGTATATTTGGTTATACGCAGCAGAAACTATGCTTACAGCTCAAGCAGAAAGGGGGAACTTGCTGTAAGGCTACAAGGTGTTTTAAGATATCCAACCTACAAACCTGGTGGGGCTTCAGAAAATGGCTAGAGCCCAGAACCAAGCACATACCTTGTTTATGCTCTTGTTTTCTGGATGTTGTTCATGCTTCATGTTCCCTGCAAACTGACTTCCTCTACTTCTGTGATATTTACTGTGGCGAAGTTGCCCCTTTCAGCCACTTCAATGGAGAGCGAATGTCACTCTCATTCCAAACACTAGAGGAAGAAACTCAGACCTGGTTTGGGACAGATTATCACTCTGATACAATCAGCTGAAGACCTGTCTTGTTGGGGGCAGATGATCACTGATGCCATCAGCTGAAGACCTGTCTGGTTGGGGGTAGGTGATCACACTGATACTATCAGCTGAAGACCTGTCTGGTTGGGGGCAGATTATCACTCTGATACCATCAGCTGAAGACCTGGCTGGTTGGGGGCAGATGATCACTCTGATACCATCAGCTGAAGACCTGGCTGGTTGGGGGCAGATGATCACTCTGATACAATCAGCCGGAGACCTGGCTGGTTGGGGGTCGGTGATCACTCTGATACAATCAGCCGGAGACCTGGCTGGTTGGGAGCAGATTATCACTCTGATACCATCAGCTGAAGACCTTGTTGCACAAAATGTCAGGAGGGGAGGGGGCTTGTCTGAGTGAAGGAGACAGTTGGGGGCAGGATGTCTTTAAAGCTAGAAGAGCTGGCAAAAGATACAAACTACAGGAGGTGTACTTAGCTTCTTTTTTCCCCCCTCAGAAGTGGCCATGAAGCATCATCAGAAATTCTTAAGTGTCCTGTGGAATAGGTTTGAAATTCTCTGTTACTTCTAGATCTGAAATTACCTGATTATCTAGAAAAGCCTTAATTATCTCAATGCAGAATTGCCTTATTTACTCAAGTTCCCTCCCACCTCCCACCCTCATTGAGTAATAATATGCTCATTGTTGAAAACTTGGCAAGAAAGAAAATTATAAACACTAGAAAACATCACTCAGTTCTATTAAGAAACAACTGCTGTCAGTATTTGGCATTTTTGTAAATGCTTTTTTCTTTCCTTTACATAATTTTGTATCTGTCAAGGATTAATTTGATTGTTAGTAACAGAAACCCTGAAGAATAAATTTAAGCAAAAAGAGATTGATTGTGGGGAGTCTCTTGGAACACACAGGAAATGGGAATGAACCTTATGGAATTTGGAAAGCCCCAGGCTTTTTTGCCTTTGTTTCTGGAGCTGTGTGGTCTTTTGTCTCTGCTTTTCTTTGCATGTCTTGTTCCATTCTCCATGCTGAGGGTGGTTTCCTCTGCAAGTGTCACAGTTTTCAGCTCCCAGGTTCTACTTGACTTTGGGTTACTCTGGTACTGATTTTAGCCACTCTACTCTTGTATTCTGGAATCAGACTGAAGTGTAACTCAAGTAGTGGAATATCCGATTGGCTCAGAATGGGTTAAGTTCTCCGTTTTGTTCATTGAGCTGTAATTAGAAGACAGGTTCTCAATAACAGTAGTGGCTACTTAAGCTCATTTCTGCAGAAGGCAGGAAGGAGACACTTTCAAAAGCATGGGCTGAGTAGCAGATCACTGTAAAAGTCTGCTTTTATTAATAAACATT